ACCTGCAATGCAGGAGGTCCCTATTTGAATCCTGGGTCACGAAGAGCCACTGGAGAAGAGATAGCCTACCACTCCAGTATTCTTGGGCTTCCCTGGTTGCTCAGCTGGTAAAGAATCCACCTGCAGTGCACAAGATCTGGGTTCCATCTCTGGGTTGGGAAGATCCCCTGGAGAAGGGAAAGGCTATTCACTCCAGTATTCTGGCCTGGAGAATTCCATGGACTGTATAGTCCATGGGGTCACAAAGAGTCAGATGTGACTTTCACTTTCAGGCAATGCCAAAGAATGCTCAAACTACTGCACAATTGCACTCATCTCATACACTAGTAAAGTAATGCTCAAAATTCTCCAAGCCAGGCTTCAGCAATACGTGAACCGAGAACTTCCAGATGTTCAAGTTGGTTTTACAAAAGGCAGAGGAACCAGAGATCAAATTGCCAACATCTGCTGGATCATCAAAAAAGCAAGAGAGTTCCAGAAAAACATCTACTTCTGCTTTATTGACTATGCCAAAGCCTTTGACTGTGTGGATCACAATAAACTGTGGTAAATTCTGAAAGAGATGGGAATACCAGACCAACTGACCTGCCTCTGTATGCAGGTCAGGAAGCAACAATTAGAACTGGAAATGGAACAACAGACTGGTTCCAAACAAGAAAAGGAGTACGTCAAGGCTGTATGTTGTCACCCTGCTTATTTAACTTATATGTAAAGTACATCACGAGAAATGGTGGGCTGGAGGAAGCACAAGCTGGAATCAAGGTTGTTGGGAGAAATGTCAATAACCTCAGATATGCAGATGACACCACCCTTATGGCAGAAAGCAAAGAACTAAAGAGCCTCTTGATGAAAGTGAAAGAGGAGAGTGAAAAAGTTGGCTTAAAGCTCAACATTCAGAAAACTAAGATCATGGCATCTGGTCCCATCACTTCATGGCAAATAGATGGGGAAACAGTGGAAACAGTGGCTGACTTTATTTTTCTGGGCTCCAAAATCACTGTAGATCATTACAGCTATGAAATTAAAGACACTTACTCCTTGGAAAGGAAGTTATGACCAACAAAGACAGCATATTAAAAAGCAGAGACATCACTTTGGCAACAAATGTCCGTCTAGTCAAGGCTATGGTTTTTCCAGTAGTCATGTATGGATGTGAGAGTTGGACTATAAAGAAAGATAAGCATCGAAGATTTGATGCTTTTGAGCAACTGTGGTGTTGGAGAAGACTCTTGAGAGTCCCTTGGACTGCAAGGAGATCCAACCAGTTCATCCTAAAGGAGATCAGTCCTGGGTGTTCACTGGAAGGACTGATGTTGAAGTCGAAACTCCAATACTTTAGCCACCTGATGCAAAGAGCTGACTCATTGGAAAAGACCCTGATGCTGGGAAAGATTGAAGGCAGGAGGAGAAGGGGATGACAGAGGATAAGATCGTTGGATGGCATCACTGCATCAATGGACATGGGTTTGGGTGGATTCCAGGAGTTGGTGATGGACAGGGAGGCCTGGCGTGCTGTGGTTCATGGTGTCGCAAAGAATCGGACACAACTGAGCAACTGAACTGAACTGAACTGAACCATTCAGCATGTCACGTTGTTAAGGTCATTCTGGACATCTTTTTTTTTTTTCATGGAAGCTTAGAACAAAAGTCAGATCCAAGCAGTGATCTGGGTTGACATCAGTTACTTTCACCATTTAGAGGCCATAGCAGTTATCCAGAACAATTAGAAGTGCAAATATCATTGTCTTTCTTGTGCAAAGCAGTTGTATGAAGTAAAAAAAACCAAAAAAACAAAAACAAAAACTAATTTTCATGCAGTGTCACCATTCAGTATAAGTATGCTGAGTATTTCTAAGCGAAGAAATCAACACATGCTCAAATATAAGATTTCCTTTGAGACTGAGGCCCAAGAGAAAGCACTCTCATTGTCTTCTCTGATTAACCTTCATTACACAAAAAAAATGGCTTTCATTTCTGTCACTGGGGTTCATGTTACAGCTGTTCATTCTTTCAAAGATATGTAATAAATACTATTAAACAATCATGAGAAAGATGGCTGCTATTTAAGGTAGAGAATACAAAGGATTTTGCATTCTGTATTCTCTGCCCCTTAAGGAGAAGATAGCATAATTCCCACCTTAGGGAACAATGTCTCAGGTTTTCTTTGGCATACCTAGTCTAAACTCTCTTTATCCCAATATATATATTGAATACTTAGATAATTTGTTCCGGTTTTTCATTCAGGAAGTATTGTCACTGTGTTGACTGACATAAAACATAAGCTATGGATATTTGGGGGAGGAAAACCAAATCGTTTCTTTCTTAGAAGAGAAAACATCAGTCTTGAACATTTGACTCTCCTTGGATACTGAGTAGGGTTTTAGATGAGAGATGTGTGTGAGGGGAAGAGGTTGGGGAAATGTTAAACATTTTTAGGAGGTGAAACTTCTGTAGAATGGAGTGCCAGATGTAAAAGCAGAGAAGCATGAGACATTTTAGGGAATACTGAATTGAAAATTTTAGTGTAAAATAAAATAGAAAATTTGTTTAAGCTCTTTGGAGTAGAAGGTTTTCAAAGAAAGGCTGAAGAAATTTGGTAATTTTGCAGTCAAAAGTAAATAATTGGAGGCAGATGAATAGAATAGTAACAGAAATGCCAAGAATAGAAAAAGAGAAGATACAGGACAAAGGAAGAGAAGAGAACTTGAAGATCATCTTCTCCAAATCCCTCATTTTACTGGATACAAATCCTGAAGAAGTAAAACAAGCTCAAAGGCCCATTCAAGTGCCTATGTTTCACGCACAACATTATGATGTGTTCATTGACTTTAGATAACTTCCTTGATAGTCTGTTTGGATATTTTTAAATAGCTCAACTATAAATTTAGGGGGAGGAGCTTACATTCTCAGTGGTCTTCAAATACAAACATAGACTTTAACTTTGCATCTCACTGTGAAGCTTTTTGCCCAACTGAAAGAATGATTCACTGACATTCCTCTAAATTTGCTTTAATCATTTGGAGAACGTTTTAATAGAAAGAAGCTGTTTTTAGATTTCTGGTGCCAAAACATTTCAGGGGAAAAAATAATCGAAGATGAGCTTCCACCTCTTTCCAAAATTGCATCACCGCCGCTTTATTCTTTCATCTTTATTGCAAGTATAAACAAAAAACAAATGTCATCAGCTAATCATTATGAGAAATTTATTGTGAATACAAACAAGGCGCTGGATATTAAAGTTGATGAGCAGACCTGCCTTTTTTGGGTGTGGGTGAAAACCCAGTCTTTACAGTTACTATGCACCAAATTAAATGAGATATCTTTCCTTCTAAAATCACAGTTTTTTGTAGAAGTTTTATTCGCAGTCTTTTTTTTAATGCTAGTATACTAGAGCTGCTCTTCAGATGGACCTTTTTGAAAAAAATTAATGAGAAAATTGAAGAAAAATAAAGCAAGAGTAGACATAATAGAGATGAAACATGGAAAGTTGATTGCTTTCAACAGTTTTTCTAAATTATTTGTGTCTCAATGCAGCAGAACACAAGAAATTATTTTCACTGGAATTAATTTCATAAATCTGCATATCATATAATTCCTAAAACATAAAACACTCCATCAGTGAGATTCATGAATTAAATCATCACTTCTTAAAGTACGCGGCACACTACAATTCTCAATCGCCAAATTCCTTGCCTCCCTGAAATCTCAATCGTAGCTACCTTCTCTGTATTTGGACAGTCTGCCATTTACTTGTAAGAAAACGTTGACTAATTATCTCATTCCAGCCGCCAAAGTATTGAAAGAATAGAGCGGGTCAGTAGCAGTAAGCGGTTAAGGGTGTTAAATAAACTAGCCACGGACTCGCAGAGCCTAGGAATGCTGGGCGGTGTGACAAGGTTGTTGATGCCACAAGCCTGCGGTGGGCAGCAGGCAGTTGGCCAAACCCAGGGCTCCGCTCCTCTGAAGGCTGCCTGCTGAATTGGGGCTGGTTTCCCTTCAGCCTCCGGGGAGCCCGGGTCTTGGCAGGCGTCGTCAGGAGAATTCTTCGCCCTAATTATCCGCGGAGGAAGACGCGCCTCTCCCGGACACCGCTAGGCAACACTCACCGCGGCGGCCGCCAGATCACTTCCCTCCGCGGGTGTGGGACTCCGTCTAAGCAGCTCGCACTTACAGTAGAGTCTCACTGGCGAGGCTGCGAGCCGCCGCGGGCGGGGGAGCCGGGAGGAGGAGGAGGCGGGAGGAGGGTGGCAGGCGCAGAGCGGGAGGCCGAGGAGACGCCGGAGCTCCAGACTCAGCAGGAGCGCGCTGTGGCGGTGCAGTTCCGAGCTCGCCAGCCTGGCCGCGCACAAGCCGCCTCCTCCCCGGGCTCCGGGCCGCCGCTGCCGCCGGTCCCTCGCTCGTCAGTGCTCAGCCCGAAGCTCTTCCCTTCTGCTCGCGTCTTTGAACTCTCCGGATCTTTTCCTCCGCTCGCCTTGCTCGTCTTTCCCCCACCCTGTCTTTTCCCCAACTCCTCTTCCTTTCCTCTTAGCCACCCTGCTTTTTTTCCTCCTCTTTTTTATCGAGAATTTCTTCTTGACTTAAGATGACTTGTCTTCCTCACCTTCGTCCATTTCAGCCCTGAAGACTGAAAAGGAGCTTTTATCTCCCCCTCCCCTCCCTCCAGTGGCATTTCAAAGACCTCCATCCTTAAAAGTCTATAAAGAGGCACAGAACGGGACGCGGGACCTTCTCGACACCCTCGAGTCCTGTCCCGAATTGCACTGTCCGCCGTCACTAGTATTTCATTTAACCCCAGCGGAGAGGAGTGTGTGGGGCTCCGGAAGCAAACTTCAGCCGTCCGGGAAGCCCCGCGGTCCCCGCACTGGGGCGAGCCGCGGGCCCAAAGGTGAAGGAGCCTACGGGGAACGGGGAGGAACCGCGAGCCTCTCTCGCGCCCTCCGCAAGGCGAGAGCCGTGGACTGAGCGGCGCGGGACAGCGGCGGCGGAGGCGGCGAGACAAGATGCGGGGCTCGGGGCCCCGGGGCGCGGGACGCCGGCGGACCCCCAGCACCCCTGCGTCCCTGGCTGGCTGCTCCTTCGCACCTCGCAGGGCGCCCCTCTGGACCTGCCTTCTCCTGTGCGCCGCGCTCCGGACCCTCCTGGCCAGCCCCAGCAACGAAGGTAGAGCCGTGGGGGGTGGGGACCGCAGCGACCCGGGGCGGAGGGGCGAGGCGGGGCCTGGCCGCGCGGGTCCTGGCGGGTTGGACGCGGCCGCCGCGGCCGAAATCGCACCCCTCTTCCGGAGCTAGCAAGGGTCGTCCGCTCTCGCTTAGCCTTTTCCCTCCGGTGCTCAGCCGTCTCCACTCGCATTGTTTGACTTTAGCCGTGGAGCGCTCGGCGCGGAACCTGCCTGCGGACCTAGGCTGATTCGGGGGGCTGGGAAGTTGGAAGCCAGAAGGATAGAAGGCTCCGCGACCCGCGCCGGGAGGCTGGGTGCGGCTGGGTCCCACTTGAAGCGCGTGGGGAAGTGGCATTTCGGGCTTTTAGGAGTGGGAAGTGTTTGAAGCGCAGTGACGGGGATCTCGGGAGCGGTGGGGCTTTTAGAAACCGTTATTTGGGGCTGCGGATGGGGAACGTGGTGGGGGTGGCTGGGGATGGGGAACGTGGTGGGGGTGGCTGGATGGTTTTATTTTGGGGTAAAGTGCCTTCTGGGAGCTGTTATTTAGGGCATCGCCAGCTGCTATTCTAGGGTGGGTGGTAAGAGCTTTTATTTCTCGCCGGAGGGGGGATGGAGAAGGACGGACAGCGCCTCACACTGTGGGGGTGTGCCGCACTTTGGGGGTCGTGTGATCACCCAGACGAAATGGAAAGAAGTCTGGAAGGTGGGATGCAGCTGGAGGCGGAGGGTTCGGGGGAGGGGAGTGTCGCCGCCTGGAAGGTGATGCTGGAACCCACCGAATCGGGTTTCCCCCACGTTTCCGAAAGGGAAAAGCTCCGTTCGGGATCCTAGAGTCCCCAGCTCTCTCTCCTATCCCCCATCCCGCGCTCCGGACCCAGAAGACTGTCCCCGCCTAGCACGCGAAGAGTAGGGCCGGCACGGGAGCGGCACCTGCGCGGCGCTCCTGGCTCCCGGATCTAGGCTCAAGCCGCTCGGCTCGCCGCCCTCGGCCTCCGGGTCCTCTCCCGCGCCCGGACCGCGCAGCCCTCCAAGGTGGGGGGAGCATCTCAGATCCCATGTGGTTAAGAGAAGATGGGGTCTGGGTGGTCAGCTCCACCACGAAAACATCAAAAACCTACCACCTCGGCGGGAAGGTTGGGGTTTCGATTTGGAGCCCCGGATGCCTCGAGTGAGGCACAGAACCTTAAAAATCTCCTTCCACTCGTGGGGCAGGGGACGCGGGACCGGAAAGATGAAGCAGCAGCGGCGGGGTCGTGTGTGTCCTCGTGACTTGCACGGGTTGTGTGTGCCTTGGCTGTAGGGAAAGGGGCTGAGCTGATCTCGGAGCGCTGCCAGCTCCCTAGGAACCGGGTGAAAAACAGGAAGGATCGATACTCCTCTCCCCACCCCGTGAGCTTCTGTCTTTACCCTCCAAATTTGTTTTAAAAAATCTGATTTAGGGGTTATATGTAGCGCGGTCTATCTTTCAATCCATCTGTCTATCTGCCTACCTAGCCATCTACTTACCTGCCTACAATACCCCATGCTTCACACAAGCAGTCTGCATTTTTAACCTCCCTGGTAAAGTTGAAAAAGTGTTTTCTGAAGTCGTGTCCTTATATGTTAGAAGCCCGGAGAATTATGACAGGGTTAGGTGTCCTTTTATTAAGTGTCTTACTCTATTGAAAGGGGCGATCTGGTTTGGATTTAAAGAGTAATAATAATATCATTTTATTCTTTCGTGTGTTCTCCTTACGTTTTTTCTTCCTTTTTCCCCCCTTAGGTATGATGAGGGAAGGGGCTTATGCAGAGCTCTAGGTTAGGGAAAGGGAAGAAATGAAGTCTCCGGGAGGGTGGCGCTAAATGGAAATAAGGGGCCAGACTGCGGAGAGAAGAGGCAAAAGGAAATGGAGGGAAGCGGGGTCTTCTGTGGTGTTGTAAGAGGACCTGGAGTCTTGTGGAAGGTAGACAGGCTGATATCACGGACTTAATACCCACAGGTTGTGCTGTCCTTTCCCAGCGAGTGGAACAGCAAAACTTGGGCGTCAGTGAGATGGGGATTGCAGGGGTCTAACCAACAGTGAGTGGTACTTTACCAACCAGTGTTCTGAAGACACTAGAAATAAAAGCATGTCTGTTGTTTGGGGCACATTTTGTAACTACACTATTTTACACAATTAGAAATAAAATTTTACTATTTTACATGTACATATATATGTATGTATGTATGTATATATTTGTATGTTTCATCTGTTTCATCCCTTCTCTGCCCAACAGTTTTCTGTTAGTGTAATGCCAGACCTTTACTATTTATTAATATGTTCTTTTTGTTTCTCCATGATGCTGCTATTCTAATCAAAGAACAAGAATATAAGATATTTATAAGAGCAGTTTATTTTTTTAGAGGTTCAGATTGGAATTTTCAAGTTTGCTTTTGATTGTTTCTGAAGGAACTTTGAAAGAAAGATTTTATGTGTGCACTGACTCCTTTAAAAACTTGTTCTATACTGTGCTTTCTGAAACCTATAGATGCTTTGTGACTTCTCAGACTGTAGTGTATATATCCATCATATATGAATATGTTATGGATGCTCCCGTTATGTGATGAAAAAAATTCAAGTCAGGTAAATAAATGGAAGTTTACTTTTATAATTGGTACTCCAGTCATGTTTAAAATTTAAGTTTGGTTGACATAAATCAGCAAAATTGAACAGAAAAAGTCAAATTTATATCTAGAATCTTGGGCTGATATGAAATAAATGTTCAAATACACTGGGTAATAGAAATAAGAAGAAAATTTACTCTTTAGCCTGAACTCTCTGATACGGTAAATATATCTTTAGTTGTCTTACTATACGTGTTAGGCATGAAAACGTGGAAGAAACCTTTGAGCTACAGTATAATACACAAGACTTTTATTGTAGAATAATTCAGAGGCATATATAAGCCAAAACATTTCTCTAAGATTGATCAGGCAGGACAAATATTAGCAAGTGTATCAACAAGTGAAAAATTTAATAGATTTAGTAAATAAAGGAAGCCTGTCCACTGTTATGAATATTGGAGGTGGCCTTGAACTTAACTAGTAACTGCCACTTTTTGCTGTTGGGAGATATATTTGTAAACAAGCATTATTTGACAAGTGCTTTGCGCAGCAGGGATTCTTGGCCAATTACTGCTGAACAACTCTGCGTTGAAAATGATTCACCCGCAGTGAATCAAGCTTAATTCATTGAAGCTACAGTTAGTAATGTCCCAGTAAAGTGCTTCTGACAGTTGTCAGCAGTTTGTATTTGAAAAGTCCAGTTTCTTGTCTCTGAATGTTTTGTATGTTTGAGGAAGTGGAATGGAGGGACTCTGAGGGAGAAAAAAAAAACCACCACAGGAGGAGAAAAATTGAGGGGGGTGCTGAACTGTTTGAAAAACAATCATAAAATTGTAGATGCTTTCAATGGAAATAAAGAAAAGGAAGAAAGTTTGTTTGAGGGTTTTTTCTTGGTTTCTAATAGGACCAGGCCCATAAAACGATTGGCCGACATAATAGATTTGTAAAACTAAATGGCTTTGTTGTGTGGTCTTGTCATCCGGTTGTAATTCATTTCCTTTTAGATAAAGAGGCAGGACCCCACAGAAAAACCACAGTAAAATTATTCCCTCACCAGGATGCTGCTGAAGGAAAAAAGAGAGCCATTACCCCTGTTTGAATCACAGATTGTTGGAACTAGGAAGGCACCGTGTAGAGTTTTGGCTTTTTGCTTTATAAACCTTGAATAGGGAGCAGAAGGTTGGGTCTTGAAATTTTAAGCCTTTTTTTGAGGTAGACAAAGATCTTCTTGGGTGTCAGGGTGACATGTAAGAGGATTTCATATCCTTATATAAGGTGGAGAAAAGGTTGAACAATTTCTGCATTTCTAATGGGTGTTCTCCTTTGAAACTCTTTTTATTATAATATTGTCATCTGTAAATATTATTAGTTCTTTATCTAAGTCCACATAGGATATAGTTGGTATGGGAAGAGGATTCATTTTTTTTTTATGCTTATAAATGTGTTACTTGCCATTATTTATGTTATTAACATTCTGCTTTACAAAATGTGATCCTTTGGCGTTTTCTATATGAAATATCAAAATGAGGTGATATAGCTATTTACATACAAAACAATCCCAAAACATTTAATTAAACATTAGACTTTATTCATTGTTGCTACTGCAGAGAAAATGTCAGTGCTTTAGTTATTTTCACTACACTTTAGTTGATTGACTGACTTGACCACTTGAATCTCCTTTGTTTGGTGTGCCTTTTTTAGGTATTTGCTTGAGTGACCAATTTATTTCTCTTTCATTTGGAAGAAACCTTTTTACCTTTGACTACAAAAAGAAGATATGACAAACATAATTGTTTTAACTAACTATAGTTATTTTTCGTTTTATGAGTCAAATGTTCTTTTTAAAAAAATGTGTTCTTAATATCTTAAAGAAAAAACTGCTGTAAAAATTGTTAATGATTCTTTATAGTTTATTTTTTCAATTTAAATTAGCAGATATATTTTATTTTATTAATGAATAACTTGAACTTAAGTTAGCAAAGATATGTTATCATTCAAAGATGATTATGATATTTTTAGTAATCTTAAAATACTTTTACTATAGTTTTCATGAAGCAACAAAATTAACACATTCCAATATTCAGCCTTGCTTGTAAATCATCAAAAATTGATTGCAGTATTTGTCCTTTTGTTTTCTTTCCAGAAACAGTGACATTAACTATAAAAGCAATAAAGCAATGTGAGAGCTAAAAATGTAAATTGTTACAATATAAATTCAATGATTCTTGCTGTTCTAGTATCTCTGGCGGGTCAGTATTTATCTATAGAGAATAATCCCTACTGGTATGCTCTACTGGGTAAATGCATATTTAGTCATTTAATCAAAATGTATATAATCAGTTGGATAGATAGTGATTTCTTCAAAGGTGTTATCCTAATATATTGTATACATAAACACTCCTAATGCTATTTTTAATT